AAACACACTCAACGACACAAATCGACGTACAAGGAAAGCTCACACAAAATCTATCAAAAAAACAAAAACAAACACAGAAAATTAGGGGTTAGGGATTCATTACCAGCCGACGAGGATGAGTGATGGCGACCGGCGACTGTGGTACTGCCGAACTAGGAATGGGAATGACGGACGAGTGACGAACTGACGAAGTGACGAACTGACGAAGAGGGAGACACCAAGACAGGGAGTTGAACTTTAGGCACGAAGAAGACTGATGATTAATGAGAGATTGAGAGGCAGGAGAGATTTGAGTTACTGAGAGTCTGAGAGATGAGATGCAACCGCGATATGAGACTGAGAGATCAGAGATGAGATGAGAGTGAGACTGTGAGAGGCGTGAGCGTGAATGCATGATAAAAACTTAGGGATTCAAATTCATTAGTGAACTGAATAGTGAATAGTGACCAGCAAATACGGGTGCCCGCGGGTTCACCCATATAAACCGTGAGATATTGGACCGGGTACGGGTATGGGTCTCAAAAAATGGGTTTAATGTATTGGACCCGTACCCTATATTTTTTACCATGGTACGGGTCGACCCGCGGGTCCAGACCCGTTTTACCAGGTCTAGTAATGGTGGACAGTAATTCCAATTCTCTCCGCTTGACGACTCCCTTCCGATCGCTGCTCACCTATTTCCTGCAAAAACATGGAAAAACAACGGGGTGAGCATAAAAATGCTCAGTAAGTAAATCCCTTAACTCTTCTCTTTCTTTGGTTCTTTCCTTACTTAACTCTCTTCTTCTTTCTTTCTATTCTTTTCATTCTTTCTCTTCTTTCTATTCTTTCTTTTCTCATTCTTTCTTTTCTTATTCTTTGCCGATCGGCCACGGTCGATGCATGGATTTGGAACCTTGGCCGTGTGAGTCAATACAGTCCTAATCTACATGTGCTCTTACGAACCGTACAAATTCTTCTTTCTTATTAGGCCACTCAATTGAGGTGGCGTGCATGTAGGAAATCCTTCTTGGTACAACCCTCATCCACATACACTCTTATAGGTCGTACAATTCTTCTTCTTGTTATGCCACTCAATTAAGGTGGCATGTATGTAGGACTTTCTTCTTAACACTCACGGTTCCCCATCACACCAACCTATTATTTTCTCTTCTTTACCATTTTTTTTTTTCTTTACTTCGTTAATGCTTATTCTTTCTTTCTCTTTACTCTTAAAGTGTTTTATTCTAAAAATTCTTCATTCTTTCTTAAATTATTACACATATACAGATATATGCATATGGATGACTCATGCTTAAAATTCTTACTTAAATGCACTCATGAAATGCAAATATGCAATGTTGCATCAAATTAAAGTTTCTACTCATACTCATACTTCTCTTAGGCATTTCATCAAACAATAAATGTGCATATACAAACCCTAATTTAATTATCATTCTATTTGTTTCTTAAACCATCCAAATTGAGAGAAAAACTCTCTTGTATCATCACCATACCTACACGGCAAAAACACTCCCAAAAGTTTTCTCCAATTCTTCCAATTTCAACCCATCATCATACCATCACATACACTTCTCATACTCAAATATATCCAACAACAAGCATAACTAATCATCAATCTCATCTCAATTTCTCAATAATCTTAACATATGCATGCTTAAAAGAAATATCTACTCACTTGATTTCTTAAACTTTAATTTAAGTTGGATTTTGAGTGGAATTTACTTACCTTATACTTGAGTAATCTCTACTAAGCTCTCTACTCTTGTTGGATTCAAACCTTCTCTTAACCCTAAGCATAAACTTCAAAAGAACTCAACTTTTATACAAATAAATCATAGATAAAGAGCAATAATTCTTACCTCTTGTTGCCAAGATCAAAACCCTATTAAAATCCACTCAAAAGCCCTCAAAATCCTTGGAGAATTGAGTGAAAAATTGAGGGAAACTGGAGAAGGAGAGTGGTGGTGGAATGAGAGAAATAAGGGTTTCAAACCCTTAACATTTTATTTTATAACCACACTTTCCCATTTTGCCCTTACTCGTTCTTGGAAATTCCATCTTTGTCCCTTAGTCAATTACCATAATGCCCTCATTTTTATTGTATTCTCTATGAAATTCTATCTCTTTGCACTCCCCACAAATTCAACTAATTTTGAGTTAAAAGACTATTTTACCCTTACTGCGAGTTTAAGGCAATTTCTTCATATTCTCTTAAAATAATTCTAACAAAAATCAACTAAGGGCTATAAAACATAATTTAAATTATATACCTCCATGTGGGCGCTACACGCATGTCATTCCCCAATAGCCTTTCCCAACTTCAGGCTTCAATCCTTACCTACAAAACATTTTAAAAAATTTTGTGGGGTGAGCGCTAATCGCTTAGTAAGGGAATATGGCCTTTCATAAACCGTTAAGGTTCATTATACAAGCATATTACTCAGGACCTTACCTTTACCTACCTACAAGACATGACCTTTACCTACCTACAAGACATGACCTTCATTCATTGACATTATCAAGTTCATAAAACATGTCATACGCTTTGGACTTTCGTCATAAACATAAGTCATAACATAACCATACATAATATAACATAAAACAGATATGACTTATGCAATATTCATAAACATGGCATGCCTATTTCTTTTGTCTTTGTACTTGATGTTTTCATTAGTCTTTATTATCCGATCGGATTCATTTGAATCATTACCTTGTTCTTGGTTGTCACCTCAAAGGACTCATGGTTTCCACAAAGATTTCATTCCTCTGATCTTGGTTTATACCTCAAGAGACTCATGGAATTCATTCTTTAACATTTCATAAATGTTTTTATAAGTCAACTAAATAAGCTATATGCATTACCATTATGAATGCAAACATATGGGATAGCATCTCCCATGCGCAATCATACTAATCATTCATTTAACATGTACCCTTAGCCAATTGCACAATTCATCAATCAATTTAGAAAAACTCCATGACATGAATATTTTCCTATTAAATTCATTAACTTAATTCATTTGATTTCTTATATAACACAAGAAATTTCAACAGTAAGATTATTCAGTGGTTTATTAGACATTATAAAAAAGATGGGAATTTTATTTAAGGAGGTGGATGCCATACAGTTTGTCACTATTCAAGCAATTTTTTCCTCATCTTCCAATTCGAATTTATTTTTGGCTAAAACATAAAAGTTTTAGGTCTATTTATCAAATTTTTAATACTTCAAGAATCAACTCAATCAGACTTCTATAACTTCAGTTATGACCGATTCAGTGAAACATGTACAGTATAAGTCTTAAAAAGCCAAATTCGAATTCTATTCATTTTTAACCATGTCACATTCATTTGCACATTCATAAAATTTGCCATATCATTCTAAGTATAAAAGGCCATAAAAACCTCCCTTTTTAAAAAACCAAAAAGTGACAAAACATCGTCCAACTACAAATCTCTTAATTGGCATAAACATCCTCCATATGCACACATACACCAATCAACACACCCATTTAAACAATCCATAACCAAAACATAGCATCACACTCAAATTAACATAAATAGATGTAAGTTTCTTCAACCCTAGGTGTTATCAATTGTAGTCATAAGGGAGATTTTTTCCTTACCTTAGTATGCAAAGCACAAAGACACTCCTCCTTAGCTCCAAAAGTTCACCCTTTCTACCTTACATACATAACCACTTATGAATTTCTCTTTTAACTAAAAATCACAACAAACTAGGGTTTTAAAACTCACCTTAAATCCTGAAATTGAAGTTCTTTAAGTGTAGATGGTGATCTCCTTTGAAATTCAACTTAAAATCCTATGAAAATTTTGAGAGAGAGAAAGCTTGAATTTAAGCCTTTAATGAAGGATAATAAGACTTGAAGAAGAGAGTTTGATGTTCTAAAAGTATTCGCCGACTTAACCAAGAAAATATCTTATAAATATTTCATTTTTTTTAATTCCCAAATGGGATTGGCCATCAAAAATTAAAGATATGGGTCATTTGGTATAAATTTTGCATATAAGGGTATTTTGGTCATTTCTACTACAACATAATTATTACACTCCTTTAATGTCATTTGACTTCTCTTTTCTACTTGGTGACCAAATAAATCCATAAGATAATTAACTAATTTACCCATAATACACTTTTAAGGATACTTGATTCCTATAAATTATTGTGAAAAGATCATTATACCCTTTGGGAACTGTTTATGCCGTTTAACCCTACTAACTTCCTTCATGACCCTTTAACCATATTTCTTATCAGTATCATCAATTCCTAACACTTTATAACATTCACGTCTCATAATGCATGCAAAATGATAATTTTACCCTTTTATTGATAAAAATCCTTTTAAGGGTAGAATTATATACCTCATAGCATCGGAACGATTACACGGGGGTTTACAATCATAGTCTCCGACGTCTCCGACTAGACTATTGGTAATATTTTCTCTCTCTAACCCTCACTAAATTAGTCTCACTCAGTCTTACTGACCTGAGCGTCGGAGTGCCTACGACGAACACTACCCCGGTGTTTTCTGTCTGCTTCACACTTGTTTTCTTACGTGTGTAGGTATATCAGATTGCTAGTGGATTCAATCTCACGGGATCAGTCCCTATTTTCATAAAGGTAGATTTTCGCATCTACACTCTCCTATTAAGTTTCATTCTTGAAAAAACATATTTTGTCTCCTAAAATTTAAATAATATATTAGAATTGAATAAAAATTTTGTTATTTATATTTAAAAATTAATAAAGATATTTTTTATTTATATAAAAAATGTTTTTTAAAATAAAGAATATTATTAGAGATCTAAGCGCCGACTCCATGTAAGATTTCTAATCAGATCTCTTAAATTACACGTAGGATTTCAATAAGATCTCTCAACAATTCTTACAAGTGTCTGTATGTCACTAAACAATCTAGTGTACATGTTTGCAGGTTATTGGTTTGGCCTATTTGGTTTAATAAGATATATTAACGCATTGCATTGTCATTCCAAAAGTTTCAACCAAAACGTTTCTTGATTAAGCCATTCTCTGTCTCATCTATCAAATTAAACAAACCCGATGTAAGATATTAATGCATTGCCATTCCAAAAGTTTTTCTTGATTAAGCGATTCTCTGTCTCATCTATCAAATTAAACTCACCCAATCGATTAAACACGTATCCACTGCTTCATTAACAAGAGTCGATTAAACGTATCCACTGCTTCACCCAAACGTATCCATCGCTTACTCGGTGCCGATGCCACCGGCCGTCGTTAACTTCGGCGACAGAGTGATTGGCGCCGGTGAAGAGTCGATTCATTCTGTTCGAACTCTGATTTCGGTGCTTGATGCTTATCGTAATCTCTCCGGCTTGCCTTGGTAAAGCTATATCCGAAATTTGTCACAAAGCGGTATAAAATTGTAAACTTTATGACTAAGTTTAGTTTTGTAGACATTTAAATTCATAGCTCTATAAAAGACGAGATGTTTGTGTTTTGGTTGTATCATATTTTCTTCTCTTTTCCCGGGATTTTTTTTTTTTTTTAATAGCTTAGAAGAGATATTTCCTCATTTCAATGATTCAGAAGATTTTTATTTCTCCACAGATGAAATAAGTTCTCAAACTTTATTTTTGACGAAAACCCAATTGAAATTTAAATTGGGTAAAGTTGAAATAAATCGCAGCATCATTAATCTTGAATTCAAGCAGATGCTTCTTTCTTAAAAGTTGTTTTTTTTTTTTTTAATTTAATTATGCGAAAATTTTATGTTTATTTAAGTCATTTTTTTGTCGATGGAGAGAAACGGAGACGACGATAATATCGTAGAAAATGAATTAGGTGATTGTGAAGCACCCATTTTGAATTCAAGCGTTTTCTTGGATCATGTTGGAGAAGCACTTCATCTTTTTGCAACTTAATTGACTTGTGGTATTTTTTGTTCTTTTGGTCAATAGGTTGGATGTGTATATATATATATGTATATGATTACCTTATGAAGGCATTTCAAGCTGAAGGGAAATTATTTACAGATCCTAGAGGTAGGATTACTGAAAAGAAATGCAAAGGAGAATAAATTTTTATCTATTCAGGTCTCATTCATCTTTTTGCAACTTAATTGACTTGTGGTATTTTTTGTTCTTTTGGTCAATAGGTTGGATGTGTATATATATATATGTATATGATTACCTTATGAAGGCATTTCAAGCTGAAGGGAAATTATTTACAGATCCTAGAGGTAGGATTACTGAAAAGAAATGCAAAGGAGAATAAATTTTTATCTATTCAGGTCTCATTCATCTTTTTGCAACTTAATTGATGTTGTGTTTTCTGTTTGCATGACCTCCAGCTATTGATGCACCCGTTGGCTTTTTATTTGAATGGTGGTCAGTCTTTTGGGATATATTTATTGCTAGAACAAATGAGAAGCACTCTGACGCTGCTGCATCCTACATTGAGGTGGGTTTCTGAGATTTTGGGTTGAGTTTTTCTCCTTTCTTTGGGCTTAACTTCCAGAAATATCCCTCTCCTGCCTGTCTTTGGTTTCATGATTTGACCTAATTGTTGTGGTTGGTCCCTCCGGGCTAAATCAGAATGAATTACAATAATGGCAATCTGGAAAGTGGAATTTGATTCTATTTCTATAAAAGAAAACTCAGGATTCAGTGCCTACCTCCAACTAATGGTATTTAGCACTTTATATTTAATTAATGTGGAGCAAACTGATTGGAATATAGGCATATAAAATCTCTAATATAATGTAGTGTGTTGTTTGGTTCCATAATATGGAAAAGTTTTCTCTGAACTGAATTGAACAATTGCATTGGCTGTAGTTTTATGCAGCTTATATCTCCAGGTTTTTGATAACAAAATCTCTCTCTTTTTTAAACTCTGCATTTCCTCATCTGAACAGCGGGCTTCTGTCAACTTAAGATTTTACATCATACATTATATACCATATGAAGCATTTATACTTTCAGTTATTTTGTAAAATTTTAAGACTGAATTTTTTACTGGTGGTATTTTTTGTTCTTTTGGTCAATAGGTTGGATGTGTATATATATGATAACCTTATGAAGAGAAAATTGCATGCTTCTGCAAAGGCATTTCAAGCTGAAGGGAAAGTATCTACAGATCCTGTAGGTAGGATTACTGAAAAGAAATGCAAAGGAGGATAGATTTTTATCTATTCATGTCTCATTCATCTTTTTGCAACTTAATTGATATTGTGTTTCTGTTTGCATGTCCTCCAGCTATTGATGCACCCGATGGCTTTTTATTTAAATGGTGATCAGTCTTTTGGGATATATTTATTGCTAGAGCAAATGAGAAGCACTCTGCCGCTGCTGCATCCTACATTGAGGTGAAATCTGATCCAGAAATTTCACTCTCTTTGGGCTTAACTTCCAGAAATTTCACTCTCTTGCATGTCTCTGGTTTTTCATGATTTGACCTAATTGTTGTGGTTGGTCCCTCCATGCTAAATCAGAATGAATTACAATAATTGCAATCTGGATAGTGAAATCTGATCCAGTTGCAGCACAGCTTTTTAGGTTTCTTGATTCAAAGAAAATAAGGTCAAGTTTGATTTTTAATATTTAGTTTATTTTTTTCTTGCTTTTTGCTAAGGTCCCTATGATCCAGTTTTGATCAAAGCCTGGGAACATTGGGATGATCAACATGTTTCTGAAAATGATCATCCTAGAGCATTTCCAAAAAATCAGGTTGCTTTAGATATCATTGATCAAAAGAAAATATTATGTTTCCTGTTTAGTTTACATTTTAAGCCCTTTATTATTATTATTATTATTATTATTTTATTAACTCTATGTCATCACTTTGCATTCAGTGCTATGTTGTGTTTGTTTTACAACATGGAGGTAAGGATCTTGAAAGCTTTGTGCTCCTGAATTTTGATGAAGCACGGAGTCTGTTAGTTCAGGTAAATAGAGATTTATTTTATTGATATTTTTGGTTCATCTGCGAATCTTTGATCTGCTTCTTAACAAAAGTGCCTATGATGTTTTATAGGTTACGGCAGCCCTAGCACTGGCTGAATCAGCAAATGAGTTCCTTTACTGTTAAACTTTGATTAAAGCTCTGAGTAAGTTCATTTACTATTAAACTTTGATTAAAGCTGGGTTTCTTGATTCAAAGAAAATAAGGTCAAGCTTGATTTTTAATATTTAGTTTATTTTGTGTATTTAATAACTTCATGGTGTATCTGCTTGGATTTATGGGACTCTTCTTATACTTCGTTTGGTCAAACTACCTTTGGGAGTGCAGCAATTTTTGGTCTTTTCTTGGGTGCTGGTAGCTTGATACATTGTGGGAAAGCTTACTCACTTTTCTCTTGCTACTATGATGAAACCAAGTTTTCTGGAGACTCCGGGTATGGATTTTGGATCTGTTTATGGCATGGAGAGAGCATTCAGTGAAGGAGACATAAAGTTCAGACTTAATTTTTGCAATGTTTTTAACCTTTTCTCTTTCCTGTATGTGCTTCTATAATTTACTCTACATGTTCGGGCAGTGGGTTTCCTAAAGCATTTGCATTTTTTGGATTTATTTTTTTACAATTCTTTAAATCACCTTAGATGGGTAAGCTGGGGAGGGTCTTTTTGCGAGACATACTTTTCAAACGATTGATATCAAGGTTGTACACTTAGTTCTTTGAGTGAACAATGGTTGACGGCGTATTTTTCTATAAACATTGTAGTATATTAATCATGTCTCCAAGGTAACAACTGATCCAGTTAGACATCAGCAATTTAAAGCCTCTGCCAATGAATTACTTGAAAGCCAATGCTGAATAGATCCTGTAGTCCATGATTGTGGTGTTACCGTGTATCATAAGAAGATGAAACTACCACAGGATAGACCTTTCTGTTTAATAGGTTTTTTAATCTTTCGGCCCATGGACAGAGTCGGGTTAAATCTTTTTCCTCTATAAATTCTAGACCACTTATTGACAACATTTACTCCTTATTAGAGGTCTTGCTGTGGGCAACGTGGCTCATTTGTTAGCATCTCCGTATTCTCCTTGCTCATATGTGTGGCATGACCCACCAAGTATTGGCTTTGCGTAGTAGTCTACGGACTGAAAAATGTTTAGATGTTTCTGGTCAATTCCACAGGATGGGGCCGGGTCATTGATACTGAGTTTTTATGACAGACTCTTGGTAATGGCAATATGAGCTTCATCCACTCTCCTCACGAACTGCCTGTGATGATCACCACCTGCCCTACTAAGGACCTCAGGGAAAAGCTGTCCAGATACAGAAATAAAAAGACAAAGAGGAACTTTGGCAGAAAAATCAAGGTAAGATTGATTAGTCGCTTATTCTTTTTGCTTTTTCCATAGGTTATTGTTGTTATGGCAAAAAACAAACTACAAACTCATAAAATTCTATGTGAACTTTTCGCATGTGTATGCACGTGTCTATTCTGAACTTAGCAACATAGATTCGCGTTACTTATGACAACAGATTCTATGGAAGACTCCTTACTAAAACTTTTTATATGTCTTTGTTCAGTATGCTTGCAGGAAGGCTCTGGGAGACAGTCAATGAAATAGCTAGGTCTGATGAAGTGTAATACAAAGAATGAGTATTAGTGAAGCTTGGCAAAGAGAATTAGTGGAAAGCCTAAAGAGGTAATGCTAAATAAACAAGACCCCCCTCCCAACTCCAACAGAAGCAGTCGATCTCCTATTGTCAGAGAAACTGTTTGAAGAGAGGTAGCGGACCTCCTCAGCAATTTAAATTCTTTATGTTTGGTACTTGGTGTAGATTTCAAGGACACCATCTGTAAAATTCACCCCACGATGGATGATTCCAACGCAACAAAGGATGTAACTAACTCTACGATTCAGAAATTGGCAATGAAAATTTGAAGTTTTCAAGATTCAAGAGGTCAAGATTCAGAGGACGCAGAAAGTTTGTACTGGTGTAATACTGTTTTACAAGTTTATGAAATGGGAATTTATTGTAAACAATAAAGCTATGGACATCAACATTTTTGCACCGAAAATATGTACGAGCCTATGTTTCCCTTGACTCACACCAACAATCAGACGCGTTATTAAATATTTTTCTAGTGAACAGTCGTCCATCAAATATGGACGACTGTTCACTTACATAGACTTCCATCTATATTATATGCACGGGGGTTCATTTACTACGGACGGGTGTTCTCATTTAAAGAACGTCTGTCTGTTCACAAGTTAGGGACGTGCGTTCATCAGTTATAGACGGCCGTCTCTTAATTTTGGACAGGCGCCCACAAATAAGGGACGTCCGTCCATAATCTAAGTATAAAATTTAAAAAAAAAAAACTTTGGACGCCCGTCTATTCCTTCTGGACGGGCGTCCCTAACTTGTGGACGGGGGTCCGTAAGGAATGGACGCCCGTCCATAATGTGCTTTTTTAAAAATTTTCTTCTTGTAAAGATTATCCGGAGAGTGAAATGGGAGTTGATGCAATGAAAATTGGGGTTCAAATCAGGAAAGTTATGGCTTTTTCAATAAGAAGTTGCTATAGATCAGTTTGTAATCATCCACTCCTTGTGGGTTTTGTGTGTTTTTTGATACTGCAGAAAGTTCCTCACCAGATGCTTCGATGGCTGACATTCTCCCAATGCTTGATGAATTCCACCCGCTTCTAGACTTGGAAGCTCCCCTAGCTGTCCATATATCTAACGATGAATCAGATGCTGGTTCGCGGATGTCCCATAAGAGTGATATTGAAAGCGTTGAGTCTAAGGAAAGTGATAATGACGGAGAAGGAGAAGGAGAAGGTGAGGATGATAATGATGATGAGGAGGAGGAGGAGGAGAAAGAAGAAGCGGCAAAGGAGGAAAATGAGGATGAAAGTAAATCTGTAATTAAATAGACGGAGGTTGATCAGAAGAATCTCATGGATTTGGGGACTTCAGAGCTTGAAAGGAACCAACGTCTGGAGAATCTTATTGCGAGGAGAAGAGCTCGTAAAAACTTGAGATTGATGACTCTGAAGAATCTGATAGATTTAGAAAGTACTGATAAATTAGAAGACAAAACCCATTCTTCCATTTAATGTTCCACCAACTGCAACAAGAAGACAAAGCCCATTTGAACAACACAAAACCCAAATTTTTTATTTTATTTTTTAAACCAGAATAAGGGACTGTATGGACGCCCTTCCAAACATAATGGACGAGCGTTCCTCATTTGTGAACATTCATCCAAAATAAAAGGACGGCCATCCATAATTGATGAATGGCCGTCCCTAAATTTTTTTAATGTTTTAAAAAAAGTTGTTAATGGACGGACGTCTATTAAAATATGAACGTCTGTCCAATATTTAGGGACAACCGTCCATAACCTATGAACGGTTGTCCCTAATTTTTATAAAAAAAATTTATTTATGGACGGGCATCCTTTAAATAGTGACGCACGTCCGTAGTAAATGGACCCTCGTCCATATAATATGGACGGGAGTCCGTGTAAGTGAACGGCCGTCCATATTTGATGAACAGTCGTTCACTAGAAAAAATTAAAAATAATGCAAAACGTGTCTGGTTTGCTAGTGTAAATCGAGAGACACGTAAGCCGATACAACATTTCGGTGTAAAAATCCCGGTGTCCCTAGCATTCTTGTATTGTAAATTTGATGAGGATGATGGAACTTCACTATGAACATTTTTACTTTCCCCCTCTATACTGCCCATTCATTTTTTTTTTTTAAATATAAGAGGTGAATAAAATAATTTCTAAGATTGATATTAACATACCAAACCTTATATTTGTTTCTATTAGACCTCTGTTTAATCATTTTCACACTTTAAAGCCAAATTAAATACTTCCTCTTTGTTTAGGGATAAACCAACTTCATTGTAGCGATGATTTGTTAAAAAACAAATGAAATAGAGTTTATGTAAACCAAGAGTAAATAATATTATTAAGTTTTGTAGGTAATTTCATTAATAAATAAAATTTAGATAATTTTAATGTGTAGGATTTTAATTGGTGTTTGATATTCATAAGTATTAATGGCATATATTAATAAAAATTATATAGTAACATTGCATTATCATTCCAAAGATTTAAATAAAAAAAATATAAAGATTTATGTTAGTCATTTCACATTCACTGAAATAAATAACAATTATATAAAGAAATAAAAATTGGTGTTAGTCCATTCACATTCATCGAATGTAAACCCATAATATTACCTATGAAAAAAATATGCTTAACAATTCTTATGATTGAATATAATTATTTTGTTTACAAACTATTTCAAAAATATCTAATAAACATACCCATACAAGGGGCGGCTTTCCATCTAGTTTAGCAAATAATTATATTCAAATGAACCCATTTAACATGATTTTATTACTTATCCAGATAATACATCCAATTAATTATGTATATTTTCTTCATATTTAATTGTACCAAAATCCAGAAGCCATAAAGTATAATTTGAACTGGCAAAGCATATATAGTTTAAATTGCATGAAATTTAGTACTCGAATACTTTTATAGTTTGAGAAAGTTTGAGAAAGATACGAGGAAATGAATGGCTATAAAAAAACTTACGTGCTTCTCTTCTCTCCATAGGAAGGAGAAAAACGCCATTCCCTTGTTGAATTCTAACGAGATAATGAGTATACAGTAAAGGCAACACAAACACACACTTCTTCATGAAAAGGCACCCAGGAAAAATAATACCCAGCTAGCTACCAACTTATAACAGAAATTGAATTCGATAACTACTCTCACTATCAACTGAAGCATTAATTTGGTTTTAAGTTATAAAACAGTGAGAAAATAATACGCAGTTTATAGTCCGGTCTTTCAGAGAGAATTCACACACATCTTCTAGTCTTCAAGTTATTCAAATTTTTATTGTTTACAAAAAGGTGCATTATACATAGATAAAGCTTGATTCCATGCTTTTGCCAGATGATGTAGCTATCAACGTCTATACAGCAATATAATAACTAAACGGAAAACTAAAATAATAATAATAACAAATCTGAGTATGCGGGAAATGAACTATCTTCCTCTCAAGGGAGTAAGTCTGTTGTTAATTAGCTTCTCCTCCTTGAATGGTTGAGTTGATGGATCAGATAGACTTGGTAACCTCGAAACACTACCCTTTCCTTTCCTGGCATTCGGTCCTATCTCCTCTATCATGTATTTCCACCCATCTATCGGTCTCCTCCGACTAAATATGTGAGTCTTAATAAAACTAGCTATCTGCACCACCAAATTCAATAACCAAGCATAAGAAAGAGAACCAGTGGCAAAATCGAAGATAAAGAACTTGTATGACAGGAAAAAAAAGTTAGTAATACTATAATTACATTTCAACATGTGCAAATTAAGTCTGCAGGGATGTTGAGCGTCATGAAAAGACAATTAACAAAACAATATGATTAGTATATAAAGAAAATTCCAGCTCATCTTACCTGGAATTTGCAAAATGCTATTCGGCGGTCAAATTCTTGGAGGAGAATATCTTCTTCTCTTTGTGACATCTCCCACACATTTCCATCATGTTCCTTCGCGGTTGTTTCCCAACCATCAGGCTTGTTTTTGAACTCAGAAGTGTTTGGGATCTTTGCATTATCCAATTCATCATTGGCAGTGTCAAAAATCCTGCATTTATTGAACCATGAGACAGACAAGTCCAACAATAGCCTACCCAAAGTCTCTATGAAATGCTATGAACAAAATGCAATCAACTAATTTCTCATCATCTGAAGAATGAAAATCTTTCTTCTCTGTGTGATTATGCACCTATCAAAATAATTTTCAATGAGTAATAAATAAATAACTGAAAAGCTGGAACCCAAATTATGAAAATAATTGCTGGATTTTACATTCAATCCTAAACTCTGTTGCGCAATCTGAGTTAAATCTGAACTTCCCCTTAGACCAAGCATAGTACTCAAATTATACAAAAATCAATACCTAAACAAAATCCAGATCATTTGCTACCTAAACTAAACTAAGCAAAATGAATAATAACAATAAAGGGAAAAAAAAAAACTCAAATAAATCAAACATACTCGGAGTAGGTATCAAGCAATCTATCAATATCATCTGCACCACCACCCAACTTAGCCTCCTCTTGCTTCTCAATCTCCTTCAACCACAAACCACCATGAATCCTCTGCTTCTTCAATCTGTAATCCTTCTTCATACTCTCCAAACTGTAAAGTTTATCATTTCCATTCCCATCAGCTTTACTCTCCTTTAGTTTAGTCTTGCTCCGCCTCTCGTCCCAATTCTCATTCATGTCCTCCACAAAGGCCTTGGTCTCTGCATCAACATCTGAACCTAAAACAATGTTTTTGGTGTTGGAATCGTTAGAGCCAAAGTTGACATCTGTTTCCCATGGAGCTCTGTTTTTCGGAGATAGGTCTTCTGGGAGCCAAGCTGTTTCCCACGCGTCGTTCCACTCTTCGTCACCATTTTTGGGGGTTTTGAAGGAGAGGGTTTTGATAAAAGTAGTTGGGCTCAAAAGGGGTTTTGTCTTTGTTATTGATGTTAATACTATGCGTTGAAGTCTTTGCATATTTCAACTGGATTGATCGCAGTTTAATCAAAATCTCTGTGTGTAGATGTCGAATAACAAGCGAAAAGTTCCACGGTCGGCTTAAACCCTATTCACGCTGCACAGAGAGAAGTGAGTAGCTATGCCGCCTACGCGCAATATTGATAGAAATTTATAGAATAATACTTTGGGTACTAATGAATGGGTACTAATCTGTGTACTAATTATATGTATAATATTCATATTATATGTATAGTATCCGTATTATATTTTAGTTAGTACACAGATTAATACCCATCCATTAATACCCATAGCATCACTCAAATTTATATCCTAAGGTTTGTCGAAAGCAACAATTAGACCCACTTCTTTTTTATACTAAATTACTAATGCTGTAACCCACCAACCCCTATAATTGAGGGATATTGATTAAATTAAGCCGAAATATATTTTATTCAAGCTAAAGCTCATCCATTAAACATAAAACATTAACTATCAACCCAAATACGAACATAACCACCATTCTGATCCAACAAATAAATGTAGAATTCATACTTCTCATCAATTTGTGAAGGGAGAACGACATTTCCCACTCTTCAAGTTCTAAAATGACACGTTCTCACCTTTTGTTAGATTCTGTTATGTTTTCCGTTAATATTTTATTAAAAATATAAAAATACCCTTTGACTTTATAAATTTTTTATTGTTTTTTAATTAGCCAAAAAGTCAAATATTAAAAAGAAAAAATAGTTAGCCCTATCCAAAAAGTTAGGAGCAATGCTATGAAATTATTTAAAGTTAAATGACCTTTAATATTTATTTATTTATTTATAATGTTATCAATATCCCATCATTATTTTTTAATAATCTACTAAATGTATAATGTTTTTCATTTTTACTAACTAATATAGAAAATCAATATTCCTAATTAATTAAATAAACAAAGGAAAAAAGATATTTTTACACTTGAACTAATAAATAATTGAGTACTAAAGACTTTGACTTAACTAAATTTTAATTTATAAAAAACTAATTAAGAAATAAACTATTTAAGGGTATTTTCGTCTTTGTAGTCAAATATTAACAGAAAACAGTAACAGAACCTAACGAAAAGTGGGAAAGTGTCATTTTGAAACTTGATGGGTGGGAAAGTGTCATTTTGCCAAACCTTGGGTGGAAATATGTCGTTCTCCTATTTGTAAAAATCTCATATTTGCATAAAGAGTAATGCTATGCTTACTCACGATCTTACTAACCATCTTATTATCCTTTGTAAATATAACGCATAGTATAGGTACTATACGCATAGTACAGGTACCATATGTAACTTTAACAAAGGTAGTAAGGCAGTTAGTAAGCTCGTGAGTAAGCATAGCATTATTGTTGCATAAAACACTATGGCAGCTGCCAAAAGTCTGATCTTTGTCAGGTCACAAACAGTAGTTAGTGTAGAAAAGAAAACGCAAAACTAGCATCCCACAAAATCTTTGTGTTTGGCACTCGAGATCAAAATAATCTCAATTAAAGGACCACAAGTAAACCAACTAAAACACAAAATAAACTTCAAATTTGCTGAATTAGTCAAATAAGAATTATTTCATTGTTACTGTAAGTGGCTGGTTGTTTCCTAGTCTATAGGAATTGGTTGATTAGTTTATTGCTTACCTAGTCTTTAGCTTTTACTAGATGATTCCTAATTTTTAGCTATTAGCAGTTGTTTTTAACTCTATAAAGAGTATCAGTTTAATCTTTCATATGCAAGTAGAGCAATAAAAGTAAAGTTCTTCTTCGTTTTTGTCTTCTTCATTTCTCACCTATAAATATTTTATCCTTTGCAATATTGGTATCAAAGCAAGGTAAAAAAGAGAGTGTGAGAAAAAAAATAAAGTTGAGACTTGAGAGTGCCAATCAAAAACAAAGTTCGTCAAATAGAGTGATATACTAGCAGTCTGTTTTCTATTTCACCTGTTTCTTTTTTGCAGCAGTCATAGAGAAAAATGATGACGTCTAAAACTTTTGTGCAACCAGCCATTCCATGCTTCGATGGCCACTATAACCATTGGAGCATGCTGATGGATAATTTCTTGAGGTCCAAACAATATTGGTATATGGTTGATTCTAGAGTAGCAAAATCAACAGTCGGCATGACGTTGACGGAGAGGATAGAGGATTTGAAGGTAAAGAATTATCTTTTTCAAGCTATTGATCGCTCAATCTTGGAAACAAATTCTTTGCAAGGACATCTCCAAGCAGATTTGGGATTCCATGAAGAATAAGTACCAAGGATCAGTAAGGGCAAAGAGGCAACAACTTCAAGCACTTCGTTCGAAATGCTTTGAATGAAATCTAGAGAATTTGTGACAAATTATTTTTCAAGGACAATGGCAATCGTCAATAAGATGTGAATCCATGGTGATAAGATGGAGGATGTCACCGTTGTTGAGAAGATTTTTTGATCCATGATACCAAAATTCAATTTTGTTGTCTATGTTATAGAAGAATCCAATGATGTTGAAGAGCTTTCAATTGATAAATTACAAGGTTCATTGCAAGTTCATGAGTAGGAAATTAACCAACAGAAGAAAGAAGAGCAAGCATTGAAGGTCTCAACTAACAACCATTCTCTAGCACCAAATAAAGGAAGAGGTAGAGGCAGAGGAAATAAGGATCATGCAACTTTTGAACCACTACAACACCAAGATAATAAATTTCATGATTCTGAAGGAAGAGGAAGAGGCAGAAGACGAGAAGGTCACCACTTAACTACTTATCGACCAGAGTCAATAAACAAGTCCAATGTTGAGTGTTACAAATGCCACGAATATGGCCATTATAAGTCATAATGTTAAACTAATTTGTCTAAAGGAAATGGGGAGAAATCTAATTTTGTAGAAACAGAAGAAGAGGTATCTTTGTTGAGGGTTTGCCATGCAAAGGAGGAGACAAACAAGAACTTGTGGTATTTAGACATGGGCTACAGCAACCATATGTGTGAAGACAAATCTGCATTCTTTGCTTTGGATAAATCTTTTCGAGATGATGTGAAATTTGGAAACAATTCTAAAGTTTTTGTAATGGGAAAAGGAAAGAAAACAATCCAAACCAAGGGAGGTGCTATTCAAACTATTTTTAATGTCTTGTTCGTTCCAGATTTGAAAACAAACTTGTTGAGTTTTGGTCAGCTTCAAGAGAAGGGATATGAGATTTCTATCAAAGATGGAGTATGTCAAATTCAAGATGTGACGGCAAATCAGATGTTTCTGCTTTATCTCCATAACACCACTCATTCATGTTTCTCAACAAAAATTGAAGGATGCAGCATGGCTATGGCACTTTCGCTATGGTCACCTAAACTTTTGTGGATTGAAGACTCTACAATAGAAAAATATGGTGATTGGTCTTCCTCAAATTATAGCCCCCTCTAAAGTTTGTGAAGAATGTATTTTTAGCAAACAATATCGCAATCAATTTCCATAAGGAAAATTATGAAAAGCAAAGAAGGCACTGGAGCTTGTTCTTTCTGACATTTGTGGGCCAATAAACCATCTTCCAATAGAGGTAAAAGATACATAATTACCTTTATTGATGATTATAGTCGAAAAATTTGGGTCTATTTTTTGCAGGAAAACATTGAAGCATTCGTAGCCTTTAAAAGCTCTAAAGCGCTTGTTGAGAAAAAGGTTGGCAACCCAATAAAATTTTTTCGCACAGATCGGGATGGAGAATATAACTCACATTATTTTGCAAATTTTTGTGAGACACATGGCATCAAGAGGCATCAAGAATTACAATTTATGTTTTAGTAGTATTAGGATTTCAGTTCACTGTTTTAGTAGCATTAGAATAGCATAGAAATGGATATCGAAGAATCACTGTAAAATTGAGTGATCAGATTCGACAACTTCACTACACTAATCAAATGGATATTAATGTCTTACTCAATAATCCAAATGAGCAACTAGTCATGTATGTTTTAACTGAAAAAGAAATCATTACTGGAATTAGACAAGAAGAGGAAGGAGATAATCTTAAGGATGATAGTATGGAAATACCAAAAATTTCATGCCAAGAAGCTCTAAACATGCTTGAGAGCTAGAAATATTTTGGCTTCAACAAGAACGTGTCCATGCTGATGACTTATTATGTACCTGCAAGATAAAAGATATGGTAACAACTCTAAAGCATAAATCATTGTCCCAAACAACTTTAAATAAATATTTTATTTCATATTAAACCTTTAATGTAACATAGTATATATTTTTTGCAATATGCATATAATTATTACTATATAGAGGCAAGTTCCTTAAGACAGTACCTAGAAAAATTATAATATATTACAATGTGAAATTTATTCTTATTTATAACTGGCCCAAGTTGGGACTAGAAGTTTTTATGACTACATAGAGGTTATTCCTATATAGAGTATTACTATAGAGGGGTTCTACTCTGTGTGTGTGTGTGTGTGTGTGTGTGTAGAGAGAGAGAGAGCTATAACAAATTACTTACAATTGCTTATGCAAACTTAGTGTTGATTGGCTCACCATTCTTTTTTCTTGTGAGCTTCAATCCACACCTCAACTTTAGGCATGATCTGCTTTCCAGTTTTTTTTTTTTTTTTTTTTTTTTCTATAAAAAAATGAAAATAATGATAAATGTTTATACTCTTTTTCAATTTAAAACTACAACCACATAACAAAGAATGAGACATCTCTCTCTCTCTCTCTCTCTCTCACCAATCATGGTAGGCATCTAGCAATTCTCCATAACCCTAAGGGTGCGTTTAGTTCGGGGAATGTTTTATTATTGAACATGTAGGATTACCAGTGAAATAGATTACGTTGAAGATTATGGGGGAATGTTATATCAATATGTTTGGTTAGATTAGTAGGTATAAGTAATTAAAATGTTTGGTTGAGAGGAATAAAATATTATCGGCAAAGGCTTTTACTGGATTTCCCTTCCTTTTGAATAATATAATATAATTATTATTATTATTTACATATATTACTTTTAACCCCCTACATTTGAGAATTTAGCTAAAACCCCCCAACAACAAAAGTTTAAATTTTAACAAAATACCCCAAGCTACTACAGACGAATGTCAACCGCTATCGACAGTCGCTGATCTAGCCGATCGTACATCGATATGGCCGTTGCTGGCCAAATC